CAGTTTGTGGTTTGTGAAGTGCTTTTATACTAAGGGTCTACGCTTTGCATTCAAACGTTAGCACGGGGAACGCGCATCGTTCGAAGCTTTGCGTTTCAAGCGTAGGGCAGTTTCTCAGATAAAGTAATTTTCAATTTTCCAACAGTTCTCCATGAAATTTACACTCATGAACCGATTTGGTTGGTTCTATGTTGCAGGGACTAGCCGTTCTAGATAGATGCAGTTTTGCAAACGATGGATAATAAATGATTAGGAAAGCGTCGTTGTAATTCAGCAGTCTAGAATGTAAACAATCATAACATCATGATCCACACTGGCAATGATCATGATATACGGAAGAAAGTGAACAAGTGCCCTGCTTAGATCCTTCGAATGTCATTAATCAAGAGTGTCCTATTGGAAAGGGTCACATCTGAAGCCATGAGATATTTCTAATTCCGTTTATAATGTTATTCACTAGTTTACCTAGGATGGATGAAGGATGGATAATCTGGTCTGGGTTCCAGCCCACTTTTTTCGATTAGCGGTTTGGCATCGCATTCACTGAGCTATCATTCATGATGCCCTGGAGTAGAAGAGTTAAAACGGAGGTCAAAGCGATAACCTGACTCTGTTTCCTGACTGTCGCTTCGTGGTTGTGACAGTGCCAAACCGAAGAAACCCAGATGCCTATACCGCTAGAAACCGCTGGAGTATCAGTTTATGAAAGAACCTGCAACTGCAATCAAATCCGATGACTGAAAAACAAGGATTCTTTTAATTATTGACAATTTTCCTCTTTTATCAATTCGCCACGTATCTTATCCCGATGACCTCACTAAAATACTTGGTTCGTCAGCTCAGTGTTTCTTGCGTGACTGCAATTACGTTGGAGTGGTACAGTGGCAGAGAAGTCGGCTATAAACTGCGGAGGTGCCGAGTTAGAATTCACTCAAGGGACGATCTTTTTCTTAACATCGAATTCCCTGGACCGAGGAACTGATCCAGCGTTGCTCCGGCACAACCAGTAGGGAAGTGGGTAGTAAATCGTAACGCCATTGATACGGACAACGTGGCATTTTGATTTAGTCACACCACAGTGAACGCAGTGTACGGCCATGCTGTCGGATGTGAGCGCTCCTTGTGTTTGCACTTCGCCTTGACCGACCTGATCCCAGCAGACTATGCGGTATTATAATCAGTTAAAGGTGTGACATGGTTTCTTTCTTTCTTAAACGTTCACCC